GAGAGAGAGAGAGAGAGAGATGGTGGAGCCAAGTCCCCACCTCGTTAGTTCTGAGTAATTCGAGCGCTAATTGCACCTAAGAGCGAGGAAGCCAGGGAGCGAGCTGCACGGAGTCTCTTCCCCGGGGCCCCGATAGACGCCGAGCCGAATCGAACCGTCGTGCCCCGAAACAGCGGCCCCCAAAACACTCGAGATATAACGTGGCCGGTGTGAAAGCGAGCCGGGAATGGGCGTGCAAATGAGGGCGCAGAAAACATCTTGATGTATCATTTATCACTCGGCGCGGTATTCTGAACCGGAGCTACGTCACCTACCTACCTTGATCTCCTCTTCACCGATGCGTTGGGCGCCAGACAGTGATGTCAGGAAATATATCTCAAATCTGTTCATGCGAGTCAGAGTTACGTAAAACAAGATGCACAAAGACGAGGTTTATTCTGGTTGCAAATCGACTGTTACAAACGAATAATTAAATATGCGTTGCACGTCCTTCATAAATTTTTCTTTATTACGATTTTTATCGCAGGGACCGCCAAACGCGCAGAAAACGCCAGCGTCGTCCAATACTTCCGGTCTTGGTGCCGCGCAGCCCGGTGAGACCAGTTACGAACTGCTCCTGCAGCAACAGCAGCTATTTCTTCAATGGCAGCTCGAATGGCAGCACAAGGTAGTGACGCTTATAGCAGTCAAGTTTTTTTCTAATAAGAGATTATTTATTAGAAGTAATCTTTTGTTTCTTCTTGATTTCAGAGGAATAATTTGTATTTAATCATTTTTATTTTTGGAAAAGCTCGTATTGATGTTCAAATATATAGATATCAAAAGATCTTTTTTTTTTCTTTATTCAGTATCCACAGATCATTCTGCCGGCTGCACAGAAACCAATATCGCTCACAAGTAGCGGTGCGAGCGATGCAGGTAGCGTGAGTGGGACTAGCGTGAATGTCGCCAGCCCGGCTCCATCGAACTCCTCGAACAATCTTTCGGAGCAGCCGCCACTGAGGCCTTTGGGCAAATTAGAAGAAATGAAAGGTACATTGATGTCATTTTGAGAATCGAAAGATTCGTTTCTCAGAGGAACGAAAAATGATTTTGCTCTCTTTCATTTGTAGTAAGTGATCTCAAGGTGGAATTGAAACGACGCAACTTACCGGTATCGGGTTCAAAACCTCAGTTGATTGAACGACTGAAGCCCTTCACAGAATCGTCCAGCAACAATTTAACTTCCAACTCCAATGGACCGCACGTGACGCACATGGGTCACATTCTGATGGACACACCTGGCCCGATGTCTACGGATGATTCTAGCTCTCAGGCCAAGAGCCCGATTGCTATCGTAAAGGATGAACCAAACAGCCCGCGAACAGCCTCGCCTCATAGTAGCGAACACGACGATCCGTCGAGTCCACCAGGTAAAATATTCTCTCAATATCTCCTCGTTAGATTGAACGTCAGTCTTTTGATGTTAATACGAGAAACGATGAGACGACTTTCGAGCGAGGCAGCTTGATTTGAGAGACAGCACACGTGGGTGTTTTTACGACGCAGTTCGTGTTTCAGGAGATGACATCATTAAAGTGCAGAGGAAACGGATAGAGGAATTACAACGTGAGCTGTACAAATCACAACAACAGCTACAGCAGATCCGTCAAACGCAGCCAGCTACAGTGCGTGCCGAGAAGTTGGCGCTTCAACAACATATACACAATAAAATGCAGCAGCAACAGCTAGCTTTGCATTTACAACAACTTCAACATTTGCAGCAGCAGCAGCAACAGCAGCAGCAGCAACACAATCAGCAACAGGCGCAACAGCAACAAGCTGCGATTCAACAACTCAACGCAAAAGCAAGTCTTGCGGCCTTCCTGCAAGCACAACCAAATAACGCGACTGCCATTCTCGATTCCGCGACTCTGACCGCGATTAATAACAAGAAAAATCAATCTAAAAACAGCACTACTGTTCAAATACCTACAGCTATCGTTCTAAATCTGGCGAAACCAACCAAGCTGAACGGTTCGTTACTTGGTGCTCTTGTAGCACAGGCGCAAGTTCAACAGCAACAGCAGCAGCAACAGCAAACAACTATCACTACTACTGAAGATAGCAAACCGCCGCCACCGCAATATGATGAAGCTGCTAAATTGCTCAAAGTGAATATGATTATATTTTATTATATCATTATTATATCATTGCAAAATTGCAATTATAAAATGAACTTTATGATATTATATTCTTAATTTTATAATACTACAGTTTATTTTTTCTAACGTTTTATTGAAAAGCCTTGTCGAACTTTGATGATTTTTTATTTACAGGTCAAAATTGAGCCGGTTCAGAAAAGTCACATAAAGAGTCAAGTAGTTGACGACGTACTAGAAATTCTCATTAAGAATGGTGAATTACCACCAAGCGCCGCACAAGATCCAGCTACACCCACTACTCCGAATCGCCAGCTGCAACAGAATTTAGTCTTCACTACGCCGGCGGACAATTCAACTCAGTCGTTAGTTTTCACGGCCGCCAGTCCGATAAGTCCTATCAGTCCAATACCGATGGAAGTGTCTCAGAGCGGTTGCCCGAGCCCATCAACACCAATTCCGCCGCCACCCCCACCGTTACCGCTGACCGCGTTTTCCATTCCGTTACCTACCGCAATCCAACAGCTACAACAAGGAGAAGAAATCACATCCTTCAGCACGGATCTTCTAACCTCCGAGGCTGAACTAGATGCTGCGATGTTGCTTAGTCCTCAATCGGTGCAGCAAGCTTCTCCAGATCCTCAACCGCCACAGGAAGTGACTTCATCGGACAATGCAAATTTGGACCTTAAAGTACATTTTTATAATTAACAAAATAACAAAATTATAAAATTTGCGCGGTTATTTATATTAATATTGCATTTTTCAGGAATTAGGATTGGATTTAGAAACATTGGATCCAATGGATTTTGGTCAATTAGACTGCGATATGCCGATGGATATGGATGATCCTGATTGGTTGGATTCCCTGATGCCACAATCGCCTCCACCTTCTGCGACATTGTCGTCGTCTAACTATCAATCTACCACTCCATCAATCAGTTTCTCATCTACCACGGATATCTATGATCCTTTATTAGGTAGCAGTCAGTACTCGTTTGATCTCTTTAATATGGAGGACTCTGATTTCAAGATGTCATCCGATCTTTCTCCGATGACTTGGGATAAGGTGGATTTCGCGACCTAGCCCGAGATACTCCCTTGCAATTCGGCGTTATGTACTTAATCCTCGACAGGTAATCAAAAGTATAATTTGAGACGGACAAAAAAAACACGGACAGTAAGATCATTGCATTATTCATTTAGTCGAATCTGTCCGATGCATTTTATATAAGTTGTTTCGCGACATCCTCTCTGATGCATCTTTTAATCGAGTCCATATTAAATTTGTACTTATATTTGCGCAGCGAAAGGAAGAAATATTAAATCCGAAAGTATCTGTTAAAAAAATTATGTGCACGCTCATTATTGTAATTAACAATTAGAGATTGTCAAATTATAGTTCAGTTTGATATACGTGTCATCATGTGTCTTTTGTTTGCAAATGCATGTTATTCTTTTAGTCGACGATCAATTGTTCCATCAGAAAAATAATATCCGACAAAATATATAATGTACGTATTTTCCTTCGTACATCACTGCAAATTAAAATCATAAATTACGATGTGCGTGCATGAGGATGCGGTGGACTGTTCACATGTACAGAGTATTTCAGATTCTTTTGTGACAATTATTAACAGTAAATTAATTAAAGTGGTCAATTTTAAACATTTTGCATCTAAAAATATTACTATTATAAAAATATTACTATTATATGTTTTTTTAACATTTTGGTATTAGAATTTTTATATTGAAATAGCTTCAGAAATTTACTGTTAATGATGTCTCACAAGAAATCTAGAATATCCTTAAAGAAAAACAACTATAGTTCCAGGACCGAAATCAACTTTCAAAATTCTCCAAAGAATCAGCTTACGACAGACTTTTTAAGATAATTTTTACTGTCCAGTCGTGTGTTGCTTGAGTTTTAATAACTGCGAAAAAATAGTGTGTGTCAAAACAAGGAGACGAGAAATACTGCGTATATGATCTTCTCGAATAATCCCCTGTTTCCAAATGCCTGCCCCTTTCCCTAAACCATAATTAATCGTAACATATAACCACATAACTAAACATTTACAGAATTTAATATAATAATAATTATTGTAAAAATATACATATAAGTACACGTATGCATGTGTATGTATATACATATACATACATATGTATTCATGTATGTACACACATATGTAAAGTATACGTCTACTTATGCGCCTGATGTCTGCGAGTCGTGTAACGTTCGGATGTACGCGAGTTCGAGGGCCTTCCAGCGCAGCTATACATATTTTCTAAGCCACAGAGCATGTGATGTTAGGAATTATTGCGTATTTTAATCGGTAATCATTATAATAGCGATAAAATCATAGGAACGGCTGCGCGCGCGAGCGAGCGAGCTGCACAATTGCACCGAGATCGGTTGCCACGGCGCGGTCCTTCGATCTTTCCATCGCGACTAGTAATCCTTTTGTTGTTTTGTAACATTCCATGTTTCCAAACTATGAACAAAGAATATCGAAGCCATGCGTGTGTCGCAAGCCGCAACCATTACGCACATCGCACATACGAAGGCGATTGCTACGTGAATCGAAGGATTTCGTCTGGGAATATTGTGTTAAAGCGACAATTGCTTTATGCTTTATAAAACATGTCGGCCTACACTGTTCCGAGACGTTCCTCGGAGACCAAGCGGTTTCGGACTTCGACGTAATGACGAAGGACCGCGCTGCCAAACTCGGTTACGGGAGAAAGAGTATGTAAGTGTATGAGAAATATGATCATGTTTTGAAGAGCGCGGGCCTGAGAGAATGCATAAAAGTCTCGAATTAATTGTGACAGAACAAAATTGAGGATATTAATAAAATTTGATGATATTAACGATAATATTAATAATATTAATGTATATTTAGATAAAAATTTCACAAAACTAAAAGATATGATATCTGAATATTGTATCTACTTCCAATTCTTAATAATTTTTATGTAAAAATGTGTTATATTCAATTTTTAAGAAGTCTTTGATGTCTCTAAGACATATGACAGATAAATGTGTCGACACATCACATTAACTCGAGACTCCTTTATGTGAATGATACAATGTCAATCTTTATGGACAGCGATGGTGCTAATCGAAACCCCAATACGCGATCGATTTTCCTTAAGAAATTACGTCGCGGTTACTTTTTTTTTTTTAGAAAATCTTCTATAATAATGCCGTCAACGTTTCGAATTTTCCTTGTAACCGACGTGCCTCGAAATGTTGTTTTTCCTTACGAGCTTTTTAGTTCCATGCGGAACTAGCATTATATAGTACGAATAGAAAAAGAGAGTATGCTATGTTTAAGTTGTTAGTTGTTTTTTGAGCGAGAGAAAAAAATTAGCGAGATATGTTCCTGTCAATCTCATTAGTGAAATGATATATTGGTCCGCGATCGTCATTTCCTCTCCCGCATTCGCCAATGAAAAAGCAAAAGAAAAAGATGCAACACATTCCAAACATATTCACACTTCATGAAGAATTTTAAAGACCTCGAGGTACTGCCATGTTTCGTGTGCACGAACGAGTGCCGTAACGCATCGCCGAATTTGTCGAGACACGGGTGCGGAAATAATTAAGCCGGAACTCAGTGCATTTAATTAAAGGAACCGGTTTGCTCCTATCTTCTTCCTCCTCTGATTTGTCTCTCGGAGTCAGTCGTAGAACTTTTTTTTTTTTTATCGAGCTTATAAGCATCGATTCCTCAAATGTTATGAATTTCATAATTTACTTAAGACTTGTGTCAATGGAATTGATTGCTTATATTTTGTTGCAAAATATTAAACGAAAATGTTGTTTTACTTATAGCAAACAATTTATGAGCTACTAATTTGTAGCATTCTGCTTTATAAACGCTGCTTTTTTTAATCGCGTTTTGCTAATCTGCATTTAGGATATCGCTTCTATTGCTTTTCCTCCTTGAAGCTTTTAAAAACGCGGCATTCAAACTCGTGCAATGTCTATGATGACAAACGAAACATGGCATCGGGGTGAGAAGGTGCCAAAAAAAGTTCCCCCTGACTACAAGCATCATGTAGAAAATCGTCATATTTGTCACCATCCGTTGCCCCTTGACAATAAGAAGGATTTTACTATTCTCTGTAAAATACTGTATATATATATATGTAAAATATAAAAAGGGATTGTGTGTGTTTTGTAGTAGCGAGCTTGACATAATGAATTAATTTAGAGTAATTAAAAGGCGATTACAATGAAAAGATCATATTATACGCCGCGTCCCTACCTTATCGAACTCGCGCCGCAACGAGCATGGAAATGTTGCAATTGCATAATTATTTTAAGTTCGAGTCGTTCATCATGATTTTGCCGATGATTGATCGATCTGTCAGGCTGTGCGAATCTGGTAGTCTGTCGTGTGTGGTGCGTCTGCAGTGTACGTCTATACACGTGTGAATAATAAAGTCTATATGACTTGCGAATGCAAATCAGGACAAAATAAAAGTAGCCAAGCAAGTACGTAAACCGATCGCGTTTATACGTATATATATATATATAGCTTCGACAAGTATATAACAAGCGCAGTTGCACCTGGAGAGAATAAAGGGATGTAGTAGCATCGCACACATACACACACACACACACATACATATACACAACAAAAACATGCATATATGCACACACACACCACACAAACACACTATTTTGTATGCGCATTGCGCGCGCGCGCGCGCGTAAGGAGTGGTATAAGTTTTTTGTTATTAAGTATCATTGAATTTATTGTAATGATATACTCTTAAGTAACGATCACGTAATTATTGCTAGAGAGAGTGTTATTTATTTTTATTTGTTGCGAATTTATCGATTGCCTTCCATTTGAGTAAAATAAATAAATATAAAGTTATTCAATAAAGCGTTATTTCCTTTTTCGCTTTCTCATCTCCTTTTCAGTATTATGATTTTTAAAAAGGAAACTCTTAGAATTTTAAGTAATACAATATGTTTGTTGATTATATTCTCCTAATACTTTGCCGATTTTTAAAATTTTATATTCGCAATTTGGAGTCTCTAATTCTCGAAATTCTTAGAAATCTTGGAAAAATCTTGATATTTTAGATATTATGCAATTTCCTTGTCGATTATATTCTCTTAATACTTTGTTGATATTTTGGGATTGAAATGAAAATTTAGGAAAATTCATTTGCTAAATTTGTAAATTTATTTTTGTCATTTTACGGGATAATAGAGACTGTTTAAAATGAAAAGATATAATTTGCTAATAAATTAATAATAAAACAAAATATACGCGCACCAAATTTTTATTGTATACCTATGTAATTAAAGATTAATAAAATAGTACAATGATCGTTATAATATATATATGTCTGATGATATGGCAAATAGAAAGTCAAATAAATATTTTAACTAAACATTAAAATACATATCAATATTTATGTTACAGAAAAGATTTATGTACTTTCCTTGACCAGATATCGACAGTCTTTCGGAATATTTCTTATAACAAAGTTTAGTAATACATGCGATATACTATTGTGCAAACGAAATGGCAGAAGAAGGAAGCAAAACGTGGACATGGAAACATTATATTAAAATAAATGACAACGAGTTTAAATGTAATTATTGTGATGAAATTTATAAAACATCACATATAGGAGCATCATACATGACAATACATTTACGTAATCATGGCATAAATAATTCCAGTACAACTTGGAAGGATAGAAAAAATACTATTCTATTATGGCAATATTATACAAAAAAAGAAAGTTACATTGTAAAATGCAATATTTGTAATAAATTGTTAAGGCTTACATCTGCTTATAACATAGAAAATTTGTCAAGACATTTACTTCTAAAACATCGAGAGAAAGTAACAATGATACAAAAAGCATTTGCAGATACGTGGTTATCACAACATTTCGCATTTGACATAAAAGACTATAGAACGAGATGCATACACTGCAATCTTAAATTAAGTATATTTATTGGAATAGATGGCTTAACGGATCACTTGAAAGTATTTCATGATAAAAATGGGAGTTTAAGAATTAAGGAAAGAAACGTAGAGAACGTGTACGTATCACCATCCTCGAGATCGGCGTGGAGACATTGTACACAATTAAGCAGAAATATAATAAAATGCAATTATTGTGATAAAATTTATAAAACTTCAAGAATATCGCTAAATTTAAAAGAACATTTATGTAGTGTTCATAAAATAATAAACGACGACGATTGGAAAAACTATACAAGTACTTCCTTGGCGTGGCAATATTACACTAAAGAAAAAGAATATACTGCAAGGTGCAAAATTTGTTGTAAACTGTTAAAGCATGCATACAACGTGGCAGCATTAGAATTTCATTTGTTACACATTCATAGAGAGGAAATAATAAAGATACAAGAAATGATTAAACGTACCTGGTTAATACGATATTTCGCGTTCAACGAGTATGATGATAAAGTAAAATGCATTCGTTGCAAGCGCGAATTGAAAATATTTATCGGAATAAGTCGTTTAAAATATCACTTAAAAAGCTGTCACGAAGGAAATGAAGGAAATGATGTAGACATAATGGTGCAGCAATCCGTAAACGAAAAAGACAACGCAAGTACAAGTTCTCATCAAGTCGAATTGTATTCGCAAACCATAGATGAAGAAAGGCAACGGTATAAATTATAAAAAAATATTGATGTCTTTTATAAATAGTTTATAAACATGAAATATCCATACATTTAAAAAATTAGTAGAGTACATTTAAAAAATTCGATTTTATTTATTCACGTTTATGTAAACTTTAGTTAAAGACGATAACCGCTACATAAATTTTGTAATTCTTATAATAAAATATTTATATTTAATCAAATCAATCAAAATTTGTTAAAATTTAAGATTTCCGATAAATAAATTAAGATTTCCGATTAATTAATATTTAAATTTAATAGAATAGAATAGGATTTTAACTGATAATGTATATTGAATTTTTCACTTAATTAAAACATTTTTATATAACATTTTGTATTATTAATTGGTTTCTAATACATTATTATTGATTAATGATTTTAAGGAATTTTCTAATCAATTTGTATATAATTGCAGATTTTATGCAACAGTTCAACAACAGCAAATAGTGAAGGGTACAGAATCGAAACAGGTCTTACAATCTAATACAACACTAAATAATGATAGCTATTTCTTAAATGCTTTAACATTTTGTGATTCAACTGAACATTTAAAATCTAATGATGAAATTAATATAAGTACTGCAAATATATTGATGCAACAATCACTAAATGAAGCACATAATGTAAATTCAAGATCTAATCATGTCGGTACACATTCAGAGGCCATAGAAAATGAAGATAAACGGTAAAGTTGCAAATGTTATTGATTTATCTTCCATAAATAGTTTATGTAACAAACTGATATAGCACACAATTTACATATCAAAAATTTGGTAACCATAATATTGCTTAAAATTATATTTTTCTAAATATAATAATCACAAAATTTATATGAGCGTCTTATTTATAAATGTTTATAATAATAATAATATTTATATATATTATAATTATAGATATTATATTTAAATATCACAATGTTAACATAGCTATATTCAAGTCTCTAAATTTAACTTCATTATCATCTATTTTATAGTTAGATAATTTAAAATCAATGCAAAATGTTTAAAATCAATGCATTATAATCCAAGTATTTTCAGATGCTAATATCTTGCTGTACATTCAATTTTTTATAAAAAAAGAGTATATAAATATTACGAATCTAACGAATTAATAACATAGTGCCAAATTTGATTCAATTTCGGCTAAATAAATTATACATATTTTTATGCTAAATAACAATTATGTAATTTCTGTTAACAAATTTCCGTCTTTTTTTGTAAATAATTACAGGTTTCATCATGAAACAATTTTAAATCAACAAACAGCAATGATGATTTCAGAAGAAATATTATAAACTGATAATATGTCAAATTATGACATTTTTGCTATGGATGAATTAGCAATTGGTGACATAAATGAGCATTTGCATATTGATGTTGAAAAAATCAATTCAAATTTAATGATACAACAACCGCTAGATGAAGAGAATGCAAATAGCTTTTATCAAGCTGATACACATTTACAAAATGCGAAAAGTGGAAGTCAATGGTAAATGTTATCTCCCTAGCTCATATATAACATACTAATATATTATGTACATTTAAAAATTATGATACAACATTCCTTTGCCGTAATATGTATTATATAGAAATATTAATCAAATATTCAATACACATATTTTATCAAAGTTACAAATGTTACAAATGTTATAATTAAATTTCTTTCGTTAAATAAAATAATGTTCCTTTTATATATTTTATATCAAAATATGTAGATGATAGAAATTTTCTTATTTGTCTAATAATACGAGTATTTCTGTATTCTATAAATGATTCGACGATTACAATTTCAATTATAATAATTGGATAATAATTGCTTCGTTATCAAATAACATGTAAAATTATAAAATAATATCACTTTTTACTAATTATTTTAATACAATTCCCATTTCTTATATGAATCTGTATGCAATTACAGGTTATACAATGAAGCAGATCAGCAACCAGTAATGATGATTTCTCCTGAACAGACATCTCAAGTTAATGATATATTAAATAATGACGCCTTCACATTTGATACAAATAAACGTTTAAAATCTGATGTAGAAATTGATGGAAATATCATGAATCAACTGATACAACAATTGTTAGATGATAATAACTTAAGTACATTTTTATGAACCTGATGCGTATTCCTAAGCCGTGGAAGGTACAGAAGCTTAATGGTAAATATTACAAACTCTAGTCGTCTTTTGAATAGTAGTTTCATGCAACAAATTAATTTTTAATTTTATATAATGTATAGCATACAAAACATTTAATCTCCAAAATTCTATCACATCCATTATATCTAAGTCCATTTATCTAAAAAATTTATCTATTTAATATTTAATATTTAATAATATGCTATTATATATTATTAAAGTATTAAATATATAGATGTACTATTAAATATATAGATGTTTATATTATAATTAAATACCTTTAATTAATTATAATTAAATAGAAAATAGAAAGTAATTAACTTAATATTATTTAATTTACTTAATATTAAAATATTTAGATGTATTGTGTGTATGATAATTTTTCTTGAAATGATTTTGTATATATTTTCAAATGCTGACATCATTTAATCAGATAGAAATTTTTAGATATTGGAATAATGAAAGTTTCTTCATACATTATTGGACACATTTATCATATGCCTCATTTAAACAACTAAGAAATATATATCTAAAACGTAACTTCATGCTTTATTACTAATTACTTAAAAACAGCTACAGCTTCTATTTCTTTCGTATAAATTTGTATGCAATTAAAGAAGTGCATTACATAGCAATTCAGCATCAACAATAGCGAATATAATTGAAATAGCAATTAATAATATGCAATAATTATAATTTTGTTTGAAATCCCTTAATGTTTCATAAAATATTTTAAAACTAATGATACATAATAATGCAGGTTTAACAATGATGATAAAACAATGAATAGACGGAGAGAATATTGTTTTTTTTTACTCGTATGCCTTCATCAATTATAGAAAGTGAAGAGGAAGAATTATAAAATTATAATAAAAATGTGATCGACACGTCATGTTGGATATGTTTTACATACACAATCGAAATCATTTTTAATTTGTGACACAACATGCGATATTTCGCGTTCAACAATAAAAATATGACACAATGATTCATATTCGCAGAGAATAAGAAAAGCGATAATAACGAATAATACAGCTCATAAATATTCAAATTATATACGTTTTAAAAATTAGATTACTTTTTCCTTGTCTATCGTAAGATACATAAACTTTTAAATATTTACATAAACTTTTATATAAACTCCACGACTCAACATGCATGCTTTATAAATGTTGTAAATATTATAACAGTGTCTCTAGTTAATAAAATCCCATTAATTATTTTAAAATTTGTAAGATGATTTTTCTATTCGGTTTAAGTGCTTTATGAGTCCATGCGTAATAGTATTATTTTCACAGACAAATTTGTAAACTTTAAATAATTTTTGTATAAAAATTATTATAGACATTTGATTTTTATTATAGACATTATTGACATTTTCATGAAGGTTTATGTTTCAGAAAATTTTATCAGTGAAAAAACATTCGATAGCCTTTGCAGATTTACACACTTTCATGCATATAAATCTATCTTAAATTATATACCTACATTGTCTTTAAAATTAGATTAAACATGTTAATAAATCTTAAATTGTTTACAATTGTCGGAAATATAACTAATTATTTAGAAACAAGCAAAAGAATAAAAATTAATCAAATTTAAATAAATTTTTATTTTATTTATCAAGAAAATAAATATATTTACAACGAAACGATACGATATAAATTGAAAATTAATAAAGCAAATAATAGATATATTAAATCGTTAACATACATTTATATGTATTCAAAATTAATACATTATTTTGATGATGTTTACAAATCGTTATAAGAACAATTACAAATAATAATAAGCTGAAAAACTATTTGATCTTAACACAAACATACATATCAATATTTATATTTTCGCAAAAATTCATACGCTTTACTTAGTCTCTTGCAAGCAGTCTTTTGGATATTTGAACAGAACTTATATTATTTTATAATCATTATTATATTTTACAAGTGGTAATATACGTACATAATGAAAAAATACCCTGAAATATGGACATATTATAAGAAAATAAGCAATAAAGAGATACAGTGCAAATATTGTAATAAAATTTATAAAGAGGGTAAAAGGAGTACAAGTATAAAAAAGCATTTATTTAAGCATGGCATAACATTTTATATCATGGAACACTTGAACAATGCACAAAATGATGCAAAGTACATATGGCAATATTATACACTAGACGAGAATTATGATGCGAAATGCATAATTTGTAATAGATTGTTAACAGTGATTGAGAATTGGAATTTGAAAAGTCATATAATTAGACAACATCAAGAAGAAATAACGAAAATACAAAAAACAATTACAGACATTTGGTTATCACAACATTTCGCATTTGACGTCATAAAACGTCAAGAAAGTCATAAAATAAGGTGCATACATTGCAATCTTAAATTGGATATATTTAAAGGAATAGATAGCTTAGCGAACCACTTGGAAATATTTCACAATATAAATGAAAGTTCAAGAGCTGACGATATAAAAGTACAGAATAACATGCAAAACATATCATCGCCGAAATTTTTGTGGGCATGGAAACATTTGACACAATTAAGCAGAAATACAATAAAATGCAATTATTGTGATAAAATTTATAAAGCTTTAAATATAACACTAAATATAAAAACTCATTTACGTACTGTTCATAAAATAATAAACGATGACGATTGGAAAAGGTATACAAGTACTTCCTTAACATGGCAATATTATATTAAAGAAAAAGGATATACTGCAAGATGCAAAATTTGTTGTAAACTTTTAAAGCATGCACATGAGATAAAAACATTACAGCTTCATTTGTTACGAAAGCATAAAGAGAAAATAATAGAGATACAAGAAATGATTAAACGTACCTGGTTAACACAATATTTCGCATTCAACGAGTGTGATGATAAAGCAAAATGTATTTATTGCGAGCACAAATTGACAATATTTACCGGAACAAGGGGCTTAGAAAATCACTTAAAAATCTATCACGGCATAAATGAGAATTCGAGATCTGACGAAGGAAACGAAGGAAATAATGCATACTTAATGGTACAACAATCAGTGAATAACAAAAATGCCGTGAGTACAAGTTCCCATGGGGCTGGATCATATTCACAGATTACAGAAAATGAAGGAGAACAACAACGGTAAATATTACGATTAATATTAATTATTGATTAATATAAATTAAATTTTCTATATGTGTGATTTATAACCTATAATCTGGATTTAGATATAAAATACTATAAAAGTGTAATACATTTCATTTGATTACATTTATATAAATCTTAGTCAAAGATTTAACAGAAATGTTACATAAATTTTATAAATATTGAAACAAAGAATTTATATTTAATCAATATAATTTAATCAAATCGATATCGAAGAATGCTAATTAAGATTTCCATATTTAATTAATATTTAAATGCGTAGAAATAGTAAATACTAATTACATTTGTTTTCTAATTATTATTACTTCTTTCTTATTTCTTTTGGTTCTTTCTCATGTTCAGTAAGTAATATATGTAAGGAACAAAAATAAAAAACTTATTTATTTAAAATATGTTATATAAATATCTGTTAAATTATATAAAGTAATATTAAAAACCAAAAACAATTGTTCGCGGTATAATAATCGAGCGGTTTACATATTTATTTACCATTGTTGAGCTTCGAAAAGATTAAATATAGAAATTATTTCAAATTTGACTTTCTCTCGAATTCTTTATAATTGCATATTTTACATACTTCAAGCTTAGCGAAATCCGCAAAAAAATAATCTATATTCCTTTTGTAAATACTAATTATTTTACTGCACCTAGCAAATTTCTACATCGTTTTGTAACCTATTATAGATTTTATTCTGGAACAGTGCAAGATGACCAACTATTGACGATGAATATTTTGAAACCTACCTCACAAACTGATAGTATATCAAATAATGACATGATTTTTGAAGATGCTCTTAATCAGATAAATGCAGAAATTGAAAGAATTTTCGAAAATACAGAAATAGATGGACAATCGATAAACGAACATATTAATGCAAATACAGGTTTTTATCAAATTTGCACAGAATCGCAAACCACAGAGTATGAAAGAAATCAATGGTAAATATTGCAAAAGTTTATTTTTCAGTAATTGACAAACAAATATATAAATATGTATACATATAAATATGTATACATATAAATTATTTCAAATTTGACTTTTTCGCGAATTCTTTATAATTGCATCGAATGTCTTTATTAGTATATTAGACTAAGAGTATAGCATTACATACTTCAAGCTTAGCGTAATCCGAAAAAAAGCAATTTATATTTTTTTGTAAATACTAATTATTTTACTGCATCCGACAAATTTCTACATCTTTTTGTAACCTATTATAGGCTTTATTATTGGACAGTGTAAGATGACCAACTATATTGACGGTGAATACTTCGAATATGTTACAAATCGATACTACATCAAATTATGACATTTTTGACACAGATGCACTATAAGATGCATTATAATACACAGATGCATTATAATACAAACAATTATTTAACTATAATGCAGAAATTGACAGAATAAGTGAAGGAATTATGGCAGATAAAGGATACAACGATTGATAGATGAATTTAATGCAAATGCAAGTCATCAAACTGGCGAGGAATTGCAAACCTCAGAGTATGAAGGAAATGAATGGGAAATATTGTGAAAGTTATTTTCCAGTAATTGACAATCAAATATAAATATAAGAAATATGATGCTTAATTGTTGACATTTGTTCGCTATAATTTTTATGTAAAAACTATAATTGAATATTTAATATGGATGCTTTATAAAAGTATGAGTACGTTATAAACGTTATAATTGAATTTCTTTCGATTAATTAAGTCAATATCAAATCTTGTTAATTAAAAATTGTTTTTACGTATTTAATATTAAATTATAGTAATGTATAGGAATTTTGATATTTGATTGATCAAACATTTTCGTACATTGTCAATATGAACCCGAAATTTTTCAATATTTGGATAATAATGTCTTTGATATAATGTATAAATTTTAAAAAAATCATATTTTTTACTTATTCTTTTGGCGCGGATTCCAATTTATACTTTGCATTATTTCTACACTTTACATGCAAATGTAGGTTGCTTAATGAAATAATTCAAGACGTACAAATGGAAATGACAAATTCAGAATAGACTTTGCAAGTTAATAATGCATGTAACAGTAATTATCCAAGTTTAGTCCCGAACGCCTTCATATCATAATAATAATAATGAGTATTAAACTCTGATGAAATTGATGGAATACCGTGGATATATCTTTACAACAGTCAATAAATGACAAAAGATATAAATTTTTTTATTAGTCTAATGAGAAGTAAAACTAATAGAG